CTGTTGTGTGTGGTGGGGGGGGGGGGTAATTGAGACCATGTGAGTCCCCTCCCGCCCACATCCACTGGACTGGATTAGAGAAGAAACAGAACTCTCTTAGCCCAAGATCGCTTTCAATTAGATGCGCTCAGAGCAGAGGTACAGGGCAGGCATGGTGAGTGAGACGAGCATAGCCTAAAATGTGAAGGTTTTATATTTTATTACCGCATTATCAAGAACTGTGACAAAAGTGGCTTGGCATTCAGTTCGAACTTGAAAATCTCTTTTGTACCTGGATGGATTGGTGGCCCCACCACGGACTCAGCCCACATAGATATGAAAAGGGCATTGATTGCACTGGATACTATAATCTTAATCTTCAAATTTGGACTGTATGTGAACCCATGCAGGCACGGGGAGAACATGCAAACTCCACACAGGAAGGACAATACTTGGACCTGAACCTGTGATCTCTGAACTGTGAGGCAGATGTGCAAACCAGTTGGCCTCTGTACCGCCATCATGTTCATGTATTTGTAGCCAGAGGTGCAAACCAGTTGGCCCCTGTACCGCCATCATGTTCATGTTTATGTTGAGAGGGAAGAAATTTCATCTGTGCTGTACAGCACATTTGACAATAAAGTTGTATTCAATTCAATTCAATTCAATGTATTTGCTATTTTGATGCTAAATACTCCTGCTGCTTTGGTCACATATCAAATACTGAGGGGAAAAAAAAGTTTATTTTGAAAGAGTTATAACAAGCAAATGGGAGCATTTTTTTTACGGATGCAAAAGCGGTGTCAGTGTCAGTGTTTGCGTGCGACAACTGCCCTAACAGCTCAGATGTAACTCGTTTGGGGCTAGTATAAATGTTTAGTCACTCATTTCACTCGAGTATGTGATGGCCATCGGGCTCGCTGCCCACTTCACACACTGAGCTCATCGAGGTCTCTCAGTCATACATCACTACACTTTTTTTTTTTTAATCGCTTGCACAACGGTAAAATGCTTTGTTTCTCTCTTTTAAGGGACACCACATGGAAATGTGCTTTTGAATTGCTTCTATACAAATACGATAGTTGGGTCTCCGGGGTTGCTGCTAACCCACCCATGTTTGAAATTAAACATCTTGGTAAAATGTTAACCAGCTTACAATTTCTGAAAATACGTGTCCAAATGAGCGATCCTGGGTTTTGCTGGATTGGCATGTGACAGTGCTGTTCATTTCCATTTACAAAGACTGACTTTTTCCTACTACTGCCCGAAGACGGCTGGGATAGGAACCAGCACGCCACCATTCTGAGGATAAAACGGTTGGGATAATCATTATTTGTTTATTACACTTCATATAGCCAGTTCGGTGCAAAAACAACCCTGCACCATCGAGTTGATACTCCCTGCGTATTCTCTGACAATATGGGCGCCACTGCCAACTGCTGTAGTGGAAGTGCAATTACACTTTATTCTTGAAAAAAAAAAAAAAGAAGAAAAAAAAAGCGTGTTTGTCAGAGTCACACTCGCCCTCTGGCATCGCACCATGCCTCACTCGGGCGGGCGCGCCCCACTATTTGAAAAAGACCTGGATAATGGATGGACATCAATCGTGGAGGTCTGCTTTAACTGAGTTCACTTACATTACCATCGCTGACGTCCCGTCTGACGTGAGAGTTGCAGTCACTTGCTTCAAAACAGTTATGCGCTACTGTTAGACAAATTTTACATTAACCTTTTTTTTTTTAAAATACAAATTGCGATAAACATGCGTCGGAAAGAAGAGTGGAACGAATATGTCCCAGCGTCGTTGCCACCAGGTTCCTGTTTGGGTGTGGTTACTTCCTCCTTCCCCCTCGAAAAAGTTTCATTTATTCTTCCTGACTTCATCACATTACCTGTGTTTTACAGGTTAGTAATCTTTGGTAAGTGATTCCAACATTTAAACATTTTGTGCTCTGAAAGTAACAGCTTTGGAGAAAATCTCGAATTGTTGTTTGATTGTTTTATGTTAACTAGCTTAAAGAACTCCGTGGCAAGCACTTAAGAGTATTTCTTGGCTGACTGAACCATGATTAACAATGTGCGTGATACATTTCTGTCAAACAAAGAAGGTAGATCCACGGAAAAACAAAACAAAACACAAAAGTCGGTGAAGGTAGAAAACAAATCTGTATCTTAGTGCTTTTGTTTGGAACCGCCTGAAACACTTGGATAATGTGCTTGGCAAAAATAGTCAAATATAGTCATTAAGCTTTATTAATTTGGACGTTAGAAACCTATGTGTATTGTCTTCTCAAAATGCAGTTGCTG